GGCATAACAAATTTAGTTTCGAGCAGGTTTTTAGACTGATTGGCGTACTGAGAATATTCAGATAGTTACGAAATTCGATGGTAAAAATTAATGTAAACCCATTTTCAAAACGGCTGTGATTAATATATTGTAAATTAGCTGTAAACTGCGGACAATCCTGTTGATTTTTTTTATGTATTTTTCTGTATGTACTGGCCACCAATAAATACCATTCAATCAACCTTCGTTGATTGACTGACCGACCGGTTTTCCTTTACAGGGATAAATATTATTATCATTATTATTATTATTATTATTATTATTATTATTATTATCATCATTATTATTATTTAGCTGTTAGGTCGTCACAGCCTGTTACTCAAAAATTAAGTTTCGCAGCGTAAACTTGTGGAATTGTTAATGAGCGGAGCGTATCGAATTCCTTTTCTTCAATTGTTGTATTATTATCTTTAATTATTTGACCGGATGAACAGCAGAATTTTGGCAGAGTGTCTCTCAGCTCTCAGGAGTTTAATATTTCGTAGCGCATTGTTTCCTTCAGTGAATATTCCGTATTAATGTCAATATTTTCACAGATTGGTAAACGCGCTTGCTTTATAAATAAACATGGCGGTCAAACATAACCCAAAGGCACAAAACAAATAGTTTCAAAATACCCCTATCATTAAATGAATGATAATAAACCAAGTCCTTAACGTCGCAAAACAAAATAGCTGTATAAATTCAATGGAGGAGAAGAACGACTGGAGGATAAAGCTTGCTCTAATCCTGCTCAAATAGAACCTTTGGGCCGAGGCCGGTTGACCACTGTTTTCTGTTTTCAATCGTAGAATCTGTTACATATCATGAAGTGGCCACTCGGGCATCACTCTGTAAATAATAGTTTAAAACTGTACACCTGCAAATCTTTTTCAATTGGGATCATACCGTCTGTCGGTTGCCTTTTGCAACATCATGTGGGATGAATCACAGTGGAAATACTGTTGCCAGTGACAAGGCAAGATTGCGCAGATAAGAGCGATCTCTTCAAACTTTCTTCATTGAACATGTGTTTCAAAGCTGGTGGTCCAAATGGCTATGATCACCCACGAAAACCGGAGATAAGCTTATCTATGCTTCACCGGATTACATGTACCTTGAAGGAGGCATATTTTCATCGGTCGGTTCCATAAAAAGACATAACAAGTGGTGTTGACTAAAACAAGTCGAGTTAATTGTTGACAAACACGACAGGTCGCAGAAACGCTGCTAAATCGAGTTTGTTGTTTCCAAGGCTATGCTCTCGGGGTGGCCATGTTGTAAACTCCTTGTTTCGTATAGCTTCATTGTTGCTTCGCTTGAAGGAAATGTTAATGAAAATGTAGTAGTTTGGTGGTCTGTTTCATGTGAAGAAATCATCAAATGAAACACAGTTCCCAGTATGTCTGCTTCCAGATTTTTTTGCCTTTCTGCTGGATGTCAGCATTACATCAAAACTGACCTGAAAGAAACAATGGTTATTGTGTGTCAACTGGTGTATATAACTCTAAACTGAGTCAGTTCAGAGCTATATATGCCAGCTGCCATACACAATAACCATTGTTTCTTGTGATTGTGGGCGACCTATGGCAATCGTCTTGAAAAGGTCATCAAACGGTGATGAGCAGAGATTTTACTATAAATGTCTTGGAGAAATGTCCTAATCAAGCAAAAATGTACTTGACTCAGTGTCTGAATACTGAAATCGATATGACAGCGTTGACCTAAATCGTCACGATACCTCCAAAAACATTATTTGTTCAATTGCACCTCACAAAATTAACAAGACTTGAAGAATCAGGATGCAAAAAGGAATGGCACACGATACCTCTCCCAGACCCCGGGATTAAATTACGAATCATTGCATTGATTATCTTACTTTTCTTGTAAATAATAATAGTTCGGAGAATTCTGTGGCACATTAGGTCACAGGCTACAGTTTCTTTTCTTTTATCTATTGATGTTAGAAATGACCTGGCTTCAATGCAATGCTACATTGTAGTATCCACTTTTATCCACTTTTAAGACGATTCTTACTTATTCCTAGTGTACCCAATTAATTTTAATTCGTATTCTTAACTGTACATTTTAAATTTCAATACATTGTAACGTAGTAGTGTCCCCAATTAGCTTCTGAAAGCTAAATACCTACCCTGACACTTAAATAAAGTTATTATTATAAGGTTCCATATATACATATTTTTTTTCTTATCTCCTCAGGTTTGTGAAAACAACAAAGTTGCAAAAATAAGAGGTTGAGGACGGATCAACCCCCTTTTCGAGGGCCTGGATGAGAGTTCTGGAATGTCTGTTGTCAGTTTTACAACTATTTGGCAACTTCTCATCTGTCAGTTAAAATTCCACATCAGTTAATTATGAATATCTCAGACCACAGCTGTAAGTTGATAAACGAGCAACTTCTTGGTTGGCCAATTCTGAGCAGTCAGTAAACTCTATCCAGATCTTCCTTTTGGACCTTTTGAGCTGTCGACAAGGACAATCGGCTCATGGCTAGCCTATCTTGCCACAATGGTTTTGAAAGACGATTAGAAGACACAGTCTATAGAAATTCGGGCTGATCATGATTAGAAGTTAGGTTTTGAAATAATTTATCAGAATAAAAATTAAAGCACATGAAACATAACACAAAACCGTGATATTACTCCTTGAACTGCCGCGGAATTCCGGGCACAAATTTGATGATCGGCTATTGAACCCGTGAATGCAATAGTCGTAATAACATATTTTAACTTCAGCTCACCCCTGCTAAACGGGCACCCTCGGGAAAATGGATAGCGGCCGCTTAAAGGGGGCTGGCCGCTTAATAGAGGTAAAAACGATAGAAAAGCCCTCATCTGGACTTTGATTACTGGCAGCCTAATAGGGGTGGCCGTTTGAATCGTTGGCCGCTTAATAGGGGTGCAACTGTACATCTGTATGTCGCGGGCATGGAGGGTTATTATGGGAAATCAGTCGTGGTTCTGTTAGGGGTTGAGGGGTCTTCATAACGCGATGAAATGCGAGACGTGTTCTGATTGGCTGAAACTGTAATATAAACACGGGTATAAAAGCAAAATAAACAGCAAAACAAGCAATTTTGAAAGACTTGAATTCCTTTGATCATTATTTTATCTGCGTTAACCAACATCCCAATTATTCATTTCACTGAAAAGGGTTCTATTGCAAGTCTAAATATTTACTACTCTCGCATCATGTTAGAAAGTTTTTAAAAGTTTTATTTCTTCTATCTCGTTTCAATCACTGTACAAAACGGTATTTGAATTATATCAAATTATACGCTAAATGGTATCAATCAACGCTGGTTGTATTTTTTCCAGGTAAATATTTTTTCAAAGTATTCTTGTAAATAATCTTAGGTAAACAATAAATAGCGTCAACATAGAGTTTCCACGTGATATCTTAAAATTATTTGCTTGTATTATGTGCATGGCCATTCTATTACAATTACACATCTCAAGTAAAACTTTGGAATGACTTTTTCCAAAAGATATAAACCCACAACAACGAAAGATAAAATTTTACAGAAGAATGTTGAATTATGCGTTCGTCACTTAAGCGGTGTATAACCGCAGACCGAGTTTAACTTTGCACTCTGGATGCTTTCCAATACCACTGATTTTACAAAGAAAAGAATCGAAGAGGAAATACCATTTAACACATCCATATGCTTAGGTGCTGGAAACAAACCTAATTCAATTAAATGGTCTATAATGTCCCAAGTCTAGTCTTGCCAACCAGATGAGCGACCTGACTGAGTGTGTATACTTTTGGTGATGCAAACTAACCTTAGAAAACCTGAACTTCGTATTTACAAACAAAACAATATTAATAAAACACTAAAATCATAAAGATCCTTTGTATTATTCGTTCTAATTCTAGTGACCAACAGTTAATCTCTCTTTCTAAAATTAACGAATTGTAAGCAGACAGGTTAGGAGAAAAAGAAAACATCATTAACCATGTGATCATCGTTGTTTTGCATTGCAATCAAGCCATATACGGCTGGAAGCGAGGCCATGAAAACCACAAATGTTACTATCAATTTGACAACTATTTCCTTACATACTGTTCAGAAGTTTAAAGCATAGACTTTTACGCCAAGGGGTTGAGACATTTTAAAAGAATGAACGATAAGTAAGAGATAATAATTATTCGTTTCATCAAGATCACCATAGTTCAANGCGATGAATGAAGATCCCCAGCTGCACAGACTGGGTCAGTTTTTACGGTCCTCAGTAAGAGGTTTGTCACTAAGCACTGCGCTCGGGCAGTCTTCAGGGACCGTAACAGGCAAACCACGACGGCAACGGCAACGAAAACGTCACCAAACACTGAAAAGGTTTACTGAGAAGAACAATGGCTGTACACGTGCGTTATAAATCTTTGTAGATTTCTTAGCCGTCCTCTGCAAACAACAACGTGAAATAACCAAGTTCTGGGTATTTTGAATAACGACGGCAAATTTTTTGTTTACCTTTTTGGAATTGATCGTTGGCATAACAAATTTAGTTTCGAGCAGGTTTTTAGACTGATTGGCGTACTGAGAATATTCAGATAGTTACGAAATTCGATGGTAAAAATTAATGTAAACCCATTTTCAAAACGGCTGTGATTAATATATTGTAAATTAGCTGTAAACTGCGGACAATCCTGTTGATTTTTTTTATGTATTTTTCTGTATGTACTGGCCACCAATAAATACCATTCAATCAACCTTCGTTGATTGACTGACCGACCGGTTTTCCTTTACAGGGATAAATATTATTATCATTATTATTATTATTATTATTATTATTATTATTATTATCATCATTATTATTATTTAGCTGTTAGGTCGTCACAGCCTGTTACTCAAAAATTAAGTTTCGCAGCGTAAACTTGTGGAATTGTTAATGAGCGGAGCGTATCGAATTCCTTTTCTTCAATTGTTGTATTATTATCTTTAATTATTTGACCGGATGAACAGCAGAATTTTGGCAGAGTGTCTCTCAGCTCTCAGGAGTTTAATATTTCGTAGCGCATTGTTTCCTTCAGTGAATATTCCGTATTAATGTCAATATTTTCACAGATTGGTAAACGCGCTTGCTTTATAAATAAACATGGCGGTCAAACATAACCCAAAGGCACAAAACAAATAGTTTCAAAATACCCCTATCATTAAATGAATGATAATAAACCAAGTCCTTAACGTCGCAAAACAAAATAGCTGTATAAATTCAATGGAGGAGAAGAACGACTGGAGGATAAAGCTTGCTCTAATCCTGCTCAAATAGAACCTTTGGGCCGAGGCCGGTTGACCACTGTTTTCTGTTTTCAATCGTAGAATCTGTTACATATCATGAAGTGGCCACTCGGGCATCACTCTGTAAATAATAGTTTAAAACTGTACACCTGCAAATCTTTTTCAATTGGGATCATACCGTCTGTCGGTTGCCTTTTGCAACATCATGTGGGATGAATCACAGTGGAAATACTGTTGCCAGTGACAAGGCAAGATTGCGCAGATAAGAGCGATCTCTTCAAACTTTCTTCATTGAACATGTGTTTCAAAGCTGGTGGTCCAAATGGCTATGATCACCCACGAAAACCGGAGATAAGCTTATCTATGCTTCACCGGATTACATGTACCTTGAAGGAGGCATATTTTCATCGGTCGGTTCCATAAAAAGACATAACAAGTGGTGTTGACTAAAACAAGTCGAGTTAATTGTTGACAAACACGACAGGTCGCAGAAACGCTGCTAAATCGAGTTTGTTGTTTCCAAGGCTATGCTCTCGGGGTGGCCATGTTGTAAACTCCTTGTTTCGTATAGCTTCATTGTTGCTTCGCTTGAAGGAAATGTTAATGAAAATGTAGTAGTTTGGTGGTCTGTTTCATGTGAAGAAATCATCAAATGAAACACAGTTCCCAGTATGTCTGCTTCCAGATTTTTTTGCCTTTCTGCTGGATGTCAGCATTACATCAAAACTGACCTGAAAGAAACAATGGTTATTGTGTGTCAACTGGTGTATATAACTCTAAACTGAGTCAGTTCAGAGCTATATATGCCAGCTGCCATACACAATAACCATTGTTTCTTGTGATTGTGGGCGACCTATGGCAATCGTCTTGAAAAGGTCATCAAACGGTGATGAGCAGAGATTTTACTATAAATGTCTTGGAGAAATGTCCTAATCAAGCAAAAATGTACTTGACTCAGTGTCTGAATACTGAAATCGATATGACAGCGTTGACCTAAATCGTCACGATACCTCCAAAAACATTATTTGTTCAATTGCACCTCACAAAATTAACAAGACTTGAAGAATCAGGATGCAAAAAGGAATGGCACACGATACCTCTCCCAGACCCCGGGATTAAATTACGAATCATTGCATTGATTATCTTACTTTTCTTGTAAATAATAATAGTTCGGAGAATTCTGTGGCACATTAGGTCACAGGCTACAGTTTCTTTTCTTTTATCTATTGATGTTAGAAATGACCTGGCTTCAATGCAATGCTACATTGTAGTATCCACTTTTATCCACTTTTAAGACGATTCTTACTTATTCCTAGTGTACCCAATTAATTTTAATTCGTATTCTTAACTGTACATTTTAAATTTCAATACATTGTAACGTAGTAGTGTCCCCAATTAGCTTCTGAAAGCTAAATACCTACCCTGACACTTAAATAAAGTTATTATTATAAGGTTCCATATATACATATTTTTTTTCTTATCTCCTCAGGTTTGTGAAAACAACAAAGTTGCAAAAATAAGAGGTTGAGGACGGATCAACCCCCTTTTCGAGGGCCTGGATGAGAGTTCTGGAATGTCTGTTGTCAGTTTTACAACTATTTGGCAACTTCTCATCTGTCAGTTAAAATTCCACATCAGTTAATTATGAATATCTCAGACCACAGCTGTAAGTTGATAAACGAGCAACTTCTTGGTTGGCCAATTCTGAGCAGTCAGTAAACTCTATCCAGATCTTCCTTTTGGACCTTTTGAGCTGTCGACAAGGACAATCGGCTCATGGCTAGCCTATCTTGCCACAATGGTTTTGAAAGACGATTAGAAGACACAGTCTATAGAAATTCGGGCTGATCATGATTAGAAGTTAGGTTTTGAAATAATTTATCAGAATAAAAATTAAAGCACATGAAACATAACACAAAACCGTGATATTACTCCTTGAACTGCCGCGGAATTCCGGGCACAAATTTGATGATCGGCTATTGAACCCGTGAATGCAATAGTCGTAATAACATATTTTAACTTCAGCTCACCCCTGCTAAACGGGCACCCTCGGGAAAATGGATAGCGGCCGCTTAAAGGGGGCTGGCCGCTTAATAGAGGTAAAAACGATAGAAAAGCCCTCATCTGGACTTTGATTACTGGCAGCCTAATAGGGGTGGCCGTTTGAATCGTTGGCCGCTTAATAGGGGTGCAACTGTACATCTGTATGTCGCGGGCATGGAGGGTTATTATGGGAAATCAGTCGTGGTTCTGTTAGGGGTTGAGGGGTCTTCATAACGCGATGAAATGCGAGACGTGTTCTGATTGGCTGAAACTGTAATATAAACACGGGTATAAAAGCAAAATAAACAGCAAAACAAGCAATTTTGAAAGACTTGAATTCCTTTGATCATTATTTTATCTGCGTTAACCAACATCCCAATTATTCATTTCACTGAAAAGGGTTCTATTGCAAGTCTAAATATTTACTACTCTCGCATCATGTTAGAAAGTTTTTAAAAGTTTTATTTCTTCTATCTCGTTTCAATCACTGTACAAAACGGTATTTGAATTATATCAAATTATACGCTAAATGGTATCAATCAACGCTGGTTGTATTTTTTCCAGGTAAATATTTTTTCAAAGTATTCTTGTAAATAATCTTAGGTAAACAATAAATAGCGTCAACATAGAGTTTCCACGTGATATCTTAAAATTATTTGCTTGTATTATGTGCATGGCCATTCTATTACAATTACACATCTCAAGTAAAACTTTGGAATGACTTTTTCCAAAAGATATAAACCCACAACAACGAAAGATAAAATTTTACAGAAGAATGTTGAATTATGCGTTCGTCACTTAAGCGGTGTATAACCGCAGACCGAGTTTAACTTTGCACTCTGGATGCTTTCCAATACCACTGATTTTACAAAGAAAAGAATCGAAGAGGAAATACCATTTAACACATCCATATGCTTAGGTGCTGGAAACAAACCTAATTCAATTAAATGGTCTATAATGTCCCAAGTCTAGTCTTGCCAACCAGATGAGCGACCTGACTGAGTGTGTATACTTTTGGTGATGCAAACTAACCTTAGAAAACCTGAACTTCGTATTTACAAACAAAACAATATTAATAAAACACTAAAATCATAAAGATCCTTTGTATTATTCGTTCTAATTCTAGTGACCAACAGTTAATCTCTCTTTCTAAAATTAACGAATTGTAAGCAGACAGGTTAGGAGAAAAAGAAAACATCATTAACCATGTGATCATCGTTGTTTTGCATTGCAATCAAGCCATATACGGCTGGAAGCGAGGCCATGAAAACCACAAATGTTACTATCAATTTGACAACTATTTCCTTACATACTGTTCAGAAGTTTAAAGCATAGACTTTTACGCCAAGGGGTTGAGACATTTTAAAAGAATGAACGATAAGTAAGAGATAATAATTATTCGTTTCATCAAGATCACCATAGTTCAATAAATTGCTAATTCCATTTGGTCCAAACTCGTTGACTTCTTTGGGGGCATTCCACCTCGCACTCTTTTCCACTTCATCCTTCGATTCTGGAACCAAACCTTGACTTGTCTCTCGGTGAGATCCAAACTCACAGCCACTTCGTATCTTCTTAATCTCGTCAAGTAGTTGTTTCGGCCAAACTCTCTCTCTAGCTCGTGAAGCTGATACTTTGTGAATACTGTTCTTTCTTTTCTTGATTTACTCAGTTTAGCTCCATCTATTTTTTCATCTAAAAGACACAAATTTGACTTTTATTAAACCCTGGTGCTCGATCGATGAAATGAAACTTATTCGCGCATTTCTTTCGTACGTGCGTTTAGTCTCTCTGTTGTGCAAAAAATATTTGCGTTTATTTAATTTTGAGCTTGGCTACACATAGTTGAAGCCCATGTTGTATGCGGCAGATCTCGAAAAGTATATGTTAAACCAGGATCTAATTTGTTCAAGAATAAAACAGCTGACACCTCGATCAGTTGGACCTTTACATTTTGTAATGCACTACGGAATCACAGAAGTGAAAGAAAATGAATCCCAAAATCTTTTACGCTAAAGAACTTTTCTACAAATCCTAAATTGTGATACACTTTTAGAGACTTAGTAGTGAAAGTAAAACGAAGACAAAATTTGTAAATCATTTGAAAGCAAACACGGTGAACAGGCTATATTATCAAAAATTCCTTTCCATTCGCTAGGTGCAACATCCTGCCTACATGGGTTTCATACACTTTTAGTGGTTATATTCTCTGGCTGTCAGTCATGCAATGTTCAAGTCTGTTAACTTTTTAGGACGATAAACTCAATGAGCATAAAATCGTGATCACGCTGACTCAAGAAAAAGTAACTCTTAAGTGTCGACATAAGAAGAGTGTTACATGACGAAGACGCAGAATTCGAAATGTCCTCTAGTTGGAGTGAACTCGCCAGTATATTGAAATGTCGGTTTTTGGATGGAATCAACCTGAGATGGAAAATTCCCTTTTGGCTTAGCTTTGATCGAAAAGCACACGTTTTGAAGAAAAATGATGTGTCTTTAAATACTGTAGCCGACAGAATCGCCTCGGCTCTCTTGTTCCGATTTTCGTGTTAATTGGCTCTTGTCAAATATTTGTCTTATCTACTTGTGTGTTTTGGGCCACTGAAATGGGGAAGTCTTTTCATCATGCTTTATTTCCCTTAGAAACTTGGAAAACACAAAAGATTGCCTGAAAGCAAGGCCTGTTCTGAGCTCTCTGTTACGTTTATTATTAGCCCCGACATCGATCAGAAGTCGGGAAGCCGGCGCGCCTGCACGCATTCAGGTTTTGCAAACGATGTCTAGAGGATGGTATGGTGATGAAATTTTTAACGCAGGAACGCTTTGCTTTGTATCTAGACAATAGCTGAAGGATGAATAGTATCGAAGAAGATATATGGCTAAACAAACTGAACATTTAACACTACCGAACAATGAAAGGTGTCCAGTAGAGTATGACAATGCGAGTATTTTGTTTGGGCCCAAGCTGAAGGAGATTTCCTCTTTAGATATTTGTGTGGGTATTTGCTGTAATTTCGTGTTCTACACTGTACTAAGCCCAGCTGACAGAGCAGAAACAGAAATTGATGAAATTCCACTTTCTCATACCTTAATTAAGATACGGACGCGTGCCATTGAATTGTAGCTTTAGGGATTTTTGTGCAAAGACCACAAAAGAACGAAACATTTTCTTTTTTAAAGCGTAGTTCCGACATGTACATCCTACACCCTGCTGTTTGAGTCACGGGATTGAAATGGCTGTACAACAGGACGCAGTAAACATTAAGAGCCGAGTTTACCAAAGAAATCATAAGAAACGGCATAACAAATTGTAATCATTATCTGGATTGTATCCTGTGAAAACGCCAGCTGATAACATTGTAAACACTGAGTTAAGTTTCTCATGTTCTCCGCAGGCGGATCAGGCGGCTTTTATTCCAGCTCAATCAAGTTGATTCTATCAGTTTGATGTGCGTTGGAAGATCGATCCATAAACCCGAACTTCCTTTGCAACCAAATTTATTTCAGTTGGACTCACAACATTTTTCGTCCAATAGTTTTTGCGCACTGAACCTAACTGACGGGCCACCGTCGTACATATCAAAACTGTTTTTTTTTCTCGTTTACGGCATTAAAAACGCATTTTCCAGATATCGATGTGCAATTAACAGTTCACAAGGTCGAGCTAAAATAACATTTAAAAGAAACAGGAAATTCTACGTTTTGCGTTGAGAAGTTTTCTGAAGAAAATACTCTCGCCAATCCAAAATCTCGAACTCAAACCTACCTTCGTCGCTATCCTCCAGTAACTTGTCGATGCATTGCTTTTTTTGAAACTCATTAGCGCAGTTTACTGTGTTCATGTTTGGCGGAGGAGTGGGAGGAAAATGCTGAAGCGTTTTTGTGCAGAAGTCGGGCCGTGAGGGTGTGTTGTCGGCCATTCTGATGCCGTCTACTCTTGCGACGTTTGAAACGCGCTCGCATGGCTGATAACTCGGAACACCAGTTGTGTGGATGGGTCCGGCGTGGAATCCATAAGTTGGAAAGCGATACGAGCAAGAGGAGTTCATTTCTGGGCTGTTGTACGCGTAAGGGTTGGGATAGGACGGTGCCTGATAGCCGAAATTTGTCGAGTAGAAATCATACATATTTGTATTCGCACTCGACGATCCGATGTTCTTTTTGCTTTGTCGGCGGCAGTTCTTTAAATAAGCCACCCTTTGTAAAAATCTGTCAACACGGAGATAGATACACTCTACGGTTTGAGGTCGCTGTCTTTGAAGTCTGCAACCAATACCCCCAAATGTCCATCAAAACGCGGCTTTTTTACAGTCGGAAGATCCCTGCGCGTCATATCTTCGGCACTAACGTTTAGCAGATAGGGGGAGTGAGGCGCGCTGAAATAGCGGAAATTGCTTGGACCGCCGCTATTTTCCTTTAAGATTGTTTAGATCATCTCTTGTACTCGAGGACGCCCTTGAGAAATCTCACTCTGTGTGCTTTTGCTAATTGCTTTCGAATCGAGCTCAATTGTTTTATTTGTCGCTGTTCTGCAAATATTGAAGGTTGTTTATGCAAAAGGCAATCCATTAGTCGCGTTTATTTACTCTACCTGTTTTCTGGCGCAGTTTATAAATTCCCACGCCGACCCCATCACGGCTATTAAAACGGTAATTGTCGTTTTTTTTCGTAAGATACCTTCAAACCTGACGAAATGCAACATATTCAGACAAATCATGGTTTTATTCCGCCTTGCAACACTTTGACCTGTGATAAACACAGCGCAGCGCCACAGTTCTCTACAGTTGCGTTCAGTCAAAAACTACAAAGAAACCGCCGATGGGACGCAACACTTCCTCCTCATCTGGAAATATTTATCCGCGGAGCAAGGAAAAGACAAAACAGTGACACGTCACGTACAACTTCTCAAGTGACATCAACAGTGAATCTCGTGGACGTGTATAAATACCGGCCAAAGGTTTCAAAATAAATGACAGGGCCAATGCGAGCTAATGCGCTATAGCAACAAATTCAGTTTATTTCAAGAGGGCATTTTAATACCGGATGTTGTCTGAAATAGGACCCTTGAAAACACTTGATAGTACTGTTAATTGCATTATAAAAACCTTGAGGACAGTCGTGAATTATGCCGACATTTTGCGCATCCACACCCTGGTTAAATTGAAATTCACTTTTGCGTAGATTGAGAGTTCTTTAGGTAGATATGCTCTGCGGAGATATCTCACTTCCAAGTTAAATGTTGCAATTTCCTGAATTTCATGTTAGACGGACTCGAACGATCGATCGAGAAGACTTAGAACTCACACAGTGTGAATGGTTTCCGGTGCTGTCACGCGCTCTTTTCACAGATTTTTGTCGCGAAAATTTCCTGTTTATCGCCGGCTTCTTTTATTTCTAATCACGAGAGAGATATAAATCTGGCATTGATAAAGGGTGATAGACATAAACGCAAAGCGTCGCGATCCTGGAAAATGTCGTTGACCGCGAAATTGCGCGACCTCTTGTGTTGATTAATTTTCGTTTATTACGTTCTCGTTGTTTTGAGTGCCATATTGACATACACTAACCCGACATCTCAAATTGACTCTCTAGCGTCTCTAAAAACATAACTAGCCTTTGGTTTCTAGCATTGTTTGTAAACAAATGTACGGCGATTCTAGGGTGTGTTTCACCGCTTTATAGCTGGTTTCTTTACCCGCTTAAAATTCTCCGCATTCCGAGGTAGGGGTATAAGATGATGATAACGTGTAACACGCCCTTCCATTATTCATCTAATGCTCGCTAATGGCGCGAAAACCCTACATAAAGTACAATGCATTCGCAAGTTATCGATCATGAAGAACACGACGATGACTCTCCAAAATACTAGGATGAGTAAGTGTCGAAAAAGTGTGGAAATAAAACAGTGTCCACCATATTGCTACTGAAATGTGTCTTCTCTATAAGTGGTCCAAAACATACGGAGAGATCTGGCGTTAAAATTCCCATGATAACTGCTTCACAGGTGTGTCGCTAATTTGTTTTCAGAGTACTGTGAATTCGAACTGTCCGCCATTTGAGCAGCGGTAAGAAAAAAACAATGATAATGGTAAACTAAAATAAAAACAGTTTTTCTTTCAAGGGATAGGACTGTTTCAGATCGCCTGTTATCTCGGGTTTTCATTAGCTCGAGTGCTAAGTATTCGTTCAGTTCCAAACTTCCGCCGTTGAAACTCGAAAAATTATCCTTAGTGGTTAACGTTCTCCAAAAATCTTGGGAAAAGGTCACGTCGACTTTGATAGGGACTTAACGCAAAACACGACGACAACGTCAACAAGAACGTCGCCAACCAAAAGGCTAAAAGAGCAAAACAAGTACCTTTGTACATTTCGTAACCGTCCAATCAACGAAATATACAAAGGTGTATGATGCAGATGAAGATCCATTGTTCTGATCATTTAGCCTTTTGTTTGACGACATTCTCGTTGCCGTTGCTGCGGGGTTTTTTTTGTAGGGAGGGAATGACAACGGCGACCCAGAGGACAACGCCCGTAGTGAAAAATGAAGTTATGTTTTACCTTCGAATTTCTCAATTGTCTAGATCTATTTAGTGCGCCTATTGGTCTCAGAACTTGCTCAAGCTAAAGATGTAATGTCAGCGTTCAATTCCAAATGAAAATACGAAAATTAGCTGCCGT